GGGCCTCGGGGCCAACCCTGCCAGCCTCCCTGCTGCTCTGTCCCCGGCTTCCCCGATTCAGCTGCTGGTCAGTTTCAGCAGCAGCTGAATCGGGGAAGCCGGGTGCAGAGCAGCTCCAGTTGTCCGTCTGCCTGGAGCACTTCCGGGTTCCCGATGGTGCCGGACCATCAGGAGTGCCGGAATATTGGATGCCGGGCCAATGGAGTTTTACTGTACATATCTAGTACAAGTGTTAGCCAGCTGGTCAGGCCTGCTGATGAGGGTGAGGGCAAAGGGGGCAATTGCCCTGGGGCCAAGTGATTGTAGGGCTCAGGGCTCCTGGCCACTGCTATTGTGGCAGCAGTGGTAGCTGGAGCTCTGTGCCTTGAAATTGCCTCTGGAGCCTTCCACCTCACTCTTCCACCCATGGCCTCGCCCCTTCTGGGAGCACAGAGCTACCTCCCCCTCTTTCCCAGAGCCCCAACAATTCTGGCAGCTCCTGCAGTTGATTTATACAATGCTTCCTTTTGCACCTACACTACTGAGGAAGTAAGAGGAGACCTGTAGATAGGCAGACTAATAATATGTCCCTGAATGACTTTAAAACATCCAATGTTATATGCAATGTAGTTGTAGCCATCTTGGTCCCAAGATATTAGAGAGAAGAGATATTACCTTACCCACCTCATCTCTTTAAAAACCATCCAAGTTTAGAATGACATCAATTAAAATCAGCATGGAACCTGCATAAAGAAGGTGAACATAGTTTTGATGAATTATTTCTAAAGGTAGTTCCATTACTATTTCAGACATAGGTAAATATGATTTTCCTTTGTGGGGGAGGTGTTGCCTCTGTAGGCAGATTACTGGTTCTGGTTTCATTTCTCTCACTGGAGTTCTAATACAGGCCTGTGAGGAAGGCAGCTGAACCCACCAGCTTGTAGATCAAGCCACTGCACACATCAAATAAAAACTAAGAAAAGGAAACTGTAATCACACTTATTAATGATTTGTGTTGGTTCTGCACTATGTCTTTCCAGGCGTAACTCAGTAGGTGCCCCTCCATGGCTTGTACTCCGATTGCCTTTCCTACCAAGCAAAAAAGAAGATGAAATGGAAAAAAAGATTGTTTTAATTTTGGATTCTGTGTGTAATGTATCTGTGCAGAGAGCTAAAGCTCAAAGGCTGTGTCTCACTCTAACACATAGGTTTATGGTTTGCCTGAACTGATCTGTGCACTGTTAGTTCTAGTTCTCTACATCTAAAAATCGGCCTGTTAGATTATTTTAATTAGTAGGGAGCTGCTACTGAAGAACCTGTATTCACTGCAATTGGCAGGGGTCTTCGGAATACATTTGGCCAGATTATGTTCTCTCTTACTCTGGCTGACTTCAATAGGATTGGAAGATACTCAGTGCCACTCAAAACCAGACCATTAATTTAGAGGTCTAATTTAAGAGACATAAATGTGTCAATGTTTGGCTTTACTTTTTTGCCTCAGTTTACCAATCTGTTCAATGGGGTCTACAACAAACTGCTTACCAACCTGATAGTGATTTTCTGCGTTTGCATTAGCTGATGTTTGTAATGTGCTTTGAAGATTTAAAAGGACCCCCCCCCCCCACAAAGAATGACTCAGTTCTTGACAGCAGAAGAAGGGTTTGTTGGCTGAGAAATCTGCAGAGGTAATTTTGGCACCCCACTCTAGCATACTGCCAAGCAAATTGCAACTCAAGTCCTCGAGATATTTTTAACTTTCAGTGCCAACCAATGAAAATCAGATTAGGGGAAAATTAATTTCTTTTCCACACAAAATACAGAGGAATGCTGGGATTTAACTCCAGAGAGAAAGAGAGAGAGAGAGAAACTTGCATGCTGTGAGCTCTAGGGGAAAGTAAGTAAACTGTTTAACTCAGCCATCTGGAATTAATCAATTTGTGGTACCTTCTGGGTCTAATTCATCAGCAAAACAGTATGTTTTGAGTGACACCGTTGAACATGAGAAAGCAGATGAATATAAACACAAAACAATGGCAGATTCTTGTAGAGGGCTGGCCCTCAGGGTGCTGGTTGGCAGGACAACATAATGCCAGATGTGATTCCTGTTCCGAGATGGCTTACCCACAATTTATTTGTTGCTATGGGAAAATAGCAAAGAGGAGGAAGAAAACAAGGAAGAAGTAGCTCCACTAAGAGAGCTATAAATTTAACCAGCTGCTCTTCCAGATAAGTTCTGTGGAAATATGTACAGGGAATAGGTTGTCTAGGCTAGGCAAGCTAAGAGACTGGTAGACTTGGTACATGCCCACCTCAGAAAGTTTGACTAGGAAAAGAAACTGACTCTGAGAAACACAGAATACATAGAAAACCAAACCCATGCTGATAATTGCTAGGCTTAGAGAACAAGGGAAATTCCTGGTAAATGGGCTGACAGATATTGTACTCTAGATTTGCCTCTTCTTTGTCTAAATCCACTTGGTGAAGGAAGGGGAGAGGGAAGTTTTCAGGGATACAAAAAGGCTTCTTCCTCGTAGAATGAGGATTACCAATGCCAGAAAAACCCCTCTGTTCTTTCAATTTTCTTGCGGAAAAACGTAATTGAAGTGTGGACTTTCCTCACGTTTTGTTGGAAAAATGGCTGTTTTTCGGACAAAACTCTGTAGAGTAGACATACCCTGACATGCCCTTTGTGCTGGGGTGTGTGTGCAGTCACTGAGTATAGGTACCACTGGCTTTACACCACTGAGAAATTCTCTCTTGGCTAAATATGACCATTTTCCAGCCCCTCCGCACCAACCAGCTAGCATAAAGGGGTGAAACCAGAGCAAAGAATCTGTCACTCTGCCTTGATCACTTGTTACTGGGAAAGCTATTTGATCAAACAATCC